TATTGAATTTCTCCACATTGGTGCAGTAGAAATGCTTGATATTAAGTATGTTTTTTTATTCATCGTGGGTGCATGAAACACTTTAATGTAACATATTTTCATGATAATGCTGAGAATACTTGTACACTCGAAATTTAAGTGCGGCTGATTTGACCAAGGAGATCGGAGTAACGGCTGGCTTGACCGCAGTTATTATGTCACAGTCATTATCTCGAGATCTCAAATTAATTGTATTGTTATCTCGGGAAAACAAAGTTTCATTATCTCGAGATCTCGAGAAAATTAACTTGTTATCACAAGTTAACACTTTCATTGCTACGCGGATGACACCCAGCTCTACCTCTCCAGCAAACCAAATTCCACTCTCCCACCTTCCTCCCTCACCGACTGCTTCACCGAGCTCAAATCCTGGTTCTCCTCCAACTTCCTCAAACTCAACAGTGATAAAACCGAATTTCTTTTTATTGGCACTAAATCAACCCTCTCAAAAGCTGACAGTTTTTCCCTCACCATCGACCACTCCTCTGTCTCCCCTTCCCCCCAGGTTAAGAGTCTGGGTGTCATCCTCGACAGCACATTATCTTTCCAATCCCATATCAATAACATCACCCGGTCTGCATATTTCCACCTACGCAATATTAATCGACTCCGCCCCTCCCTTTCTCCCCACTCCACTGCCATCCTTGTACACAGCCTTGTCACCTCCCGCATCGACTACTGCAACTCCCTTCTCTTCGGTCTACCTCACAAATACCTCCATAAACTTCAACTGGTTCAGAACTCTGCAGCTCGAATTATCACCAGAACCCCCTCCATCCACCACATCACCCCTGTTCTACAGCAACTCCACTGGCTCCCGGTAAAACTCCGCATTGACTTCAAAATCCTCCTATTCACGTTCAAGGCCATCCACAACCTCTCCCCTCCTTATCTGTCCGAACTCCTCCACATCGCCAACCCTTCCCGTTCCCTCAGATCTGCCTCCCTCTGTCCACCTCTCTGTCCCTCCCGCCCGCCTCGTCACCATGGGGAGCAGGGCTTTCAGCCGCTCTGCCCCCCAACTCTGGAACTCACTCCCACCGGACCTCAGGAACCTGGACTCTCACACACTCTTCAAATCAAGATTAAAAACTCACCTATTCAGAACTGCATACCCCACTTAACCATCTACATTGTCTTTTCTTATCTGTTTCTTATTTCTTGCTTTTTTTTTTTTTTTTTTTTTTTTGTGTTGTACGGTGTCCTCGAGTGCCCAGAGAGGCGCCTCTAATAATTTAATGTATTATTATTATTATTATTAAAACGGAGGAAATAAAATGTATGAATGCATGGCCCTTTAGGGCTTCCGTAAGATATAACATATGTTTAAATGAAGTATTTATTTACATAAACACTGCATGTACTAAAGTAAATACATTTTGTTTCCTCCACTTTCTTGCCGTCTCTCAGAAATGGTTTTAATGAATCTACAGAATGCGATGGAAACATTTTCTTGTTTTGTGCTTTAGTTCAGTCCAGAGTTCAAGTGTCAGTCAGTTAAGATCAATGAGAACAGCAGATCTGAGAGTCTCCTTTTAGTAACAGAGGAGAGAGAAAGCTGACACTGACTGCCCTCTAGTGTCTTTATAACTGGAACTGTGACATTATTTTTCACTCTCATACTGTTAGCTACTTTAGATGCCAAATGATATAAACATTAATGTGTAGCTACATGTCTTTCTTTTATTCAGACCTGGACAGTGATTTCAGCAGACTGTTTGGCTGTCAGTGGCTGTTTTTGAAGAAGTGATCATTAAAGGAAGACATTTTATTTATTTAGGGTGCTTAATTGTTATTGTTGTTATGATCTTCCTCACAGATTGTTATGTTTTCTTAAAGAAATAAAAGCAAAATAAAAATACAAATCTTTTCTAAAGTAAAGTAAAGATGAGTACTGTAGGATTTTGTACAGCTACTCAACCAACTCCAGTCACTGTGAGTGTCGAGCACAATAATAAACAGCAGAATCTTCAGTTTTCAGGCTGTTCATCTGCAGATACAGCTGCTGTCTGCTGTTGTCTCTGGAGATGGTAAACTGGCCTTGAACTGACTGAGAGTAGAATTTGTTACTACTGTCAGTATAGATCAAAGCAATCCACTCCAGTCCTTTTCCAGGAGCCTGTCTGATCCAGTGCATCCAGTAGCTGCTGAATGTGAATCCAGAGGTTGTACAGGTCAATCTGTGAGATTCTCCAGGCCTTTTAACCACTGGTTCAGATTCTGTCAGAGTCTGACCATCAATATCTGTAAGAAAAAATCACATGACTATAGTTTGTACAGAACTATTTATATTAAAAAAGATCAGTGAAGATCTTGGAAAAACTGGAATCAATTTTTAGAAGTCAGTTTAATTGAATTTGCATGAAATGTTACTGCTCATTATGTCATACTGTTGACCTTATTTTAGCTTATTGCTCTTGCACAAATATTCAGTTACTCCCACAGAGATAAAAGAATCAAAAATCAACCCTGGTTTAACTCCATAACTCATATGTTTAGGTATTGACTCTCACAGTGTGGAGAGAACCAGACTGGTCATTGCTTATTGTCTATTCAGACATGTGACTTGAGTCAAAATTAATTTTATTCATGCATCTAAAATTTATGTTAAATTTGAATAGTCTTTCAAAGTTGAATTTGTACTCATTTGAAATTTGAAATTGTATTTCTTGGTCAAATAATATTCTGCTTAAGAATTATTCACAGAAAAAAGAAAACAGGATACACACACAATTGAAAAATCAAACTCTTATATGTTGTTTTTTTCTTCTTAAATGAAACCTATGTTGGGCAAAAGTATTCGTCAAATAAGTACATATTACAAAAATAAATGAGATCGTAAAATAATAATAATTTAGATAATTAATGAGTAAAACTAGTGTTGCCAAACGATTAAAATATTTAATCGCATTAATGTCATAGTTAAATCCCGCAATTAATTTGTAATTAATCGCACATTTTTATTCATCCTAAATGTCCCCTTGGATTTCTTTTTGTCCCATTATTTTTCTCATTTTAATGCTCTTATCAAAAATGGAGAAGTGGATCGGCTTGCTTTGTGCAAATGTTGTTTTTATTGAAACAACATTGGCATATACTGTTGTGTTCAATTTCACACTCAACATTCTCACTTGAGCAAATAATCTTTCTCACACAATGTAACACTGTCCATCAATAGAAGGGTGAAAAGTAATACTTTGTCCCACAAATAGCTCCCTTCAACAGCCCTTTCTAAGGGATCAAAACAGGGCGATACAAAATAAAATTTACAAAGTGCACATAAGTGCAAACTAGACTAGGCCTATAGTGCAGTTAAACCATGGCTTAATACTTTGTCAAGTTTGCTTTTGAACATAGCAGTCAGGCTACTGCTCTTAACACACCACCAGAGGCTCAACCCCAGCCTCTCTTATTTCAGAAAGAATGTGAACAGTAACGGTTAAACAATAAAAGGTAAGCCTACTACTTTGCTTTGAGCCAGTTACTCAAACAGACAAGCTCGTTGACATTTTCAGACAACAAGGAATCCATCCATTTCGGCGTCTCTCGCTCTACTATCCACTCAAACGTAACGTCTACTACTCTTAAACAAGTGTGTGCGGCGTGCCTGTTGTTTTGTTTCCGATCTAGCTAGATGCCGTGTGGTGTTGTTGTTTTTCTAACGCTACTAGTTGTAGTGAAGACACTGGGATGTTACTGTATATGGCGTTAGTTCAGGGGCTATCACTGAGTTCAAGCAAACCCGGTGCTGGGTGTGTCGGTTTAACTGGGAGTTGAGTTAACTGGTGATACTGAGTGTTTTTTAGGGACCCCTTATTGCTTCGAACCAGGAAATAAAGATTCTGACTACTTCTATGACATTCATTTGTTGGTGACTTGAAAACTCTGCAATAGAAACTCTTTACTGGAACAATAATGTTGTGGTGTCTGCTCACTACGGAACTCCTATTCACTGTCATGGTGACATTAACTGCTGATCGCTACCGCTGTTTCAGAGTCCTTCCCGAGTATAACGTTACATCGAAGAAAGACTTCTTTGGATATCGTATATTGTAATCATACAATGGCTTTTACAATACATCTTAGAAACACTAACTATTT